ATACAATACATATTTTTATATGTTATCGTAACATATAGGTTAATTAGTTTCATATCTAAATAATATATATTTAAACAATATATAAACAAATATAACAATTTTTCGTACAATACAGACAAATATATAAACAATATATTTATATACAAATATAATAAACAATACAAACAAATATACAAATAATATATAAACAAATATAATAACTTGTCACGTCTATATTTCGTACAATACATATATTTATATATATTATCTTAATATATAAGTTAATTAGTTTCATATCTAAACAATATATATTTTAGGAACCTAAAGATTCATAACATTACTGACGTCATGTATATTTATAATATATTGTCACGTATATTTTACTATAATTGATAACTTTTTTAAAATTATTTGAATAACTGGAGGTTGATTTGTAATTTAAATTTCAAATTCATTCAAACATTTAAAGGAAAGTATCATAAGCAGATTTTTTTGATACATCTATACTTATATAATAAGAATTAACATTTATCCAAAATAGTAGGTTAAATTATGGTCAATATCGGATTTGATTAAATATTTTCCAAAACTGGTAAGTTTTTGTCCTTTTCACACTTCTCATTAATTATGTCCTTTTCACACTTTTCATTAATTTTTGTCATTTTCACACTTCTAATTAATTCATTAATTACGACATAATTATCATAAATCATTCCATCTGAGCTTTTATTGTTAAAATGTATAGCGATCTGTTATGACCTTATCCCATTGATATTTCCATGAAGCGTCCTTATCGCGTTCTATTTTTTGGTAACCACTCTATATCAATAATCGGATATTTGGTTAATGATAACACACGTCTTTATTTCAAGGAGCGGATATTCTTTGACCTTTAATTAATCTGAACTGATTGCCTTGACTTTTCAATTTTTAGAAACTCTTTTTTTAAATATTTCGGCTTAAGATTCGGATTTCATTATACAAGTCATCGGATTGTTTGAATGAAAATGAATGAAAAGAACACCAAAAATAGGTAGCCTTATTCATATAACCAATCCTAAAATATTATTTTGTTCACCAAAAAGAGACAAATCCTAGAAATCCTAAAATTTTAGTATGTTCACCAATCCTAAAATATTAGTTTGTTCACCAAAAATATTAGTTTGATTTTTAGGATTTGTCTCTTTTGAAAATATTAGTTTGTGATAATGAGGAGTTACCAAATAATCAAACTCATAATGTTGTGTACAAGGAGGTTTTTAATAATATATGATTGTTACCGAACTTTTTATGATTCAACAATGTTCCTATGTATTTTAATTATTTCAATTTCGATCCTAATGCATGTGAGGTTATATTATTCTTCCAAATTTTACATCTCGTGCATCGCACGAGTTACGTACTAGTGTATATAATAAGAATTACCATTTACTAAAAATAGTAGCAAAAAAATAGGCCATAATTTAATGTAGCCTATAAATAGTAAGTTTTATTATTTTTCTTATTTTTTTCTTTAAAAATCATACATCATTAAATGCTACCTTAAATTTTGAGATTTAGTTCATTTTATTATTTAAAAAAAATCCGGCTAATATTTATTAAGTGTGTATGTTTTTATTTTATTTTTTTCTTAGAAACAACGAACAACATTAAAATCTCGGTCTCTATATTTATAAAATCTCAATTCAAAATAAAACAAAAGTTTTAGAATCTCGGTCTTTATATTTGTGTCTTTAAAAAAAATACTGAACGCTAAAAATATTCTTTAAATTGCATAATCAATCAATTAATCTTAATTTTTTTAAAATTATTATGTTTATTTTTTATTAATATGCATAAAACAAAAATAATTAATTCATATTTAGATATATAATTTATAATCTTAATATACTATCATTTGGTGTAGACATTTATTATATGAATCATAAAATATTTTTATTTCATAAAATTAAATATATTTAAAGAAAATAAGAAAATTTCTTCAGATCAATCGAGTGATTGAATTAGAGTCCTACCCAGGTTGATTGAATTATTTTTAAGTGATAATTAAAATAGTCAAAAAAAATTGACACAATTTGGTTGGTCCCAGGTGACTAAGTTATGTGTCAGTTCGACCACACCAAATCGATTATTGAACCTAAATATAAATTTTATATTGAAAATATTTTATTACGTGAATGTGATGTAGTCCAAACTTCAAATAGTCGTATTAAAAATACTTTTATGACAACATGTTTAATGATTTATGAATATTTATATATTATCTTATTAATATTTATGTGAATTAAATATTTTATTATAATATTTATTAATGTACAGTAAATATAAGGTTTTCAGAACTGGACCGTCATCGAAACGATCAAGCTATTTTATTAAATCATTTGTTGTTTGTTTAGATTTTAATTTATAAATATTTTAATATATATATATATATAATACTTTTTGTAGTAGATTTAAATAAAATGTGTTACTTAGATGTCTAAGCAGTTTATAAATTCAAATGTTTAAACTAAGTGATAAATAATTTATAAATCTCTATTTTATTTAAATATGTAATTTTATTTAAAATAACTTTAAGTATTACAAAATTTATTTAGAAAATCATATCGATCCTACTAGTCCAACCGACTGGTGTTGACGGATTCGAAAGCAAATATTTTATTCAAGTGAACTAGACTGGTTATAAAAAGGTTTTCGGTCCATCTGATCAAATTGTGTCCAACACGGTTTAATTTAAAAACAATGAATAAATCATGATTAATGTTATTTATATATTTAATTTATAATACAATCGTAATATTGTTTTCCCGTGCATCGCATGGGCAACGCACTAGTTTCATTTTATCTCAACTTACATATAATCACATTCCTACCAAACATTAAATTTGCTTATATCTTTTTAAATTAATTACATCAATAAATAATATTAATATACATTACATATTTATCATTATATAACAAATATATTACTTCTACAAGTGTTATAAATAATAATGACATTATATGATAATAGATTTTTTGATAGATTAATAATTGAGTATTATGATGAACCAAAATATGTAAAATTATTATTATTTTGTATTAAAAAATAAATATATATGTTAAAATATTATTTATAATAACATAAACGGATCAGCATGCTAATATATTGTGAAAATAAAGTTTAAAAAAAAGTTCTAAAGTACGGAAACCCCGTGCATCGCACGGGATTCTCACTAGTAAGTTCATATAAGACTTATATGCGTATTTCACCCTTTATATAGTATTGACACTTAATCTTGTTCAATTACCCTATCACCTATAAGTAGGTCTTTACTATTAAGATTAAGTCGGTTGGTTCCATTGAAAGATATAAATTCGTCTTGTTGCTAGAGGCTTTAAACAGACTCAAAGAGATTATGATAAGAATGTTGATTCTGATACTCACATGACCATTGTTCATACTCTAATTGCGGTGGTTGTTGCTCGTTCTTGGATTATTAGTACAGAGCCCGTGCGATGCACGGGGTGCACAATTTTAAGTTTATTTATTCAGGCTTATAATTATATACATGAATAAAGAAAAATGTACGGGATATATATAGTACGTGACTCGTGCGAAGCACAGATATATTTATTTGGAGAATATTATATTATAAGATGCAATATTCAATAAAAGTTTATAATACGCAAGAAAATTGTACAATGTTCAATAAAAGTTTTATAATATTCAAGTGAGTCTTAAAGTCTCTTGTACATTAAGACTACTGACAAAATAATATTTTAATCTATGAGTTTCCTTTCTTTGTAGCCAAATTGTGAATGTGATTTGAGGAGTACAACAAATCGATATATAACTGACTTGCTTTTTTCATTGTAGTTTTTTTTTTTCTTTTTTCTTTTTATAATGAATTTAAAGATATTCTAAAATATAGCAAAAATTAATTTTTTTTATTACAATTAGGAATTTTACTAAATAAAAACTCTCATTCTATGGTGTTAATCAACGTTTAAGTCTAAAAAATTAGGAATTTTTACCTCTTTTAATCAACGTTTAAGTCTAAAAAACAAAAGAGTTATTATAAGTTTTTTTTTCTACATCTTTTAAAACATTAAATATGAGCATGTTAGGGCTAGTAAAATAATTAATATATTATCTCACTAAAACATTTATACTAATAAAAATTTAATTTTAGCATATAAATTTATCTCTTGATATAAGAGAAAGTAACAATTTTACTTATTGTTGTTCACCATATAATATTTAATTATTATTTTATTATATAAAAAAAGAAATATTGTTAAATAGTGTAGTAGAATTGTTATAAAATTATATGATTTTTTTTTTACAATATGGATTTAATATTTTTTTTTGATTTGATAATATAAACAAATCTATACTTAACTTTGACAAATAAAACAAATAAATACTTTAGTAAGTATTTAATGTATATACTAAATAGGAATATATTTGGTATAATCAAAATACCAAATATAATCAAATAAGTCAAAGTGTACATTTTTTTTTGGTATTTGATTTTTTTATTATTAAAATCTTTTTATTATACTTGCATTTTAAAATAAAATAAATAAATAAGTCAATTAAATAAATAAAATATTATAATACCAAAATAGTAATGACATTTAATGCAGTTGACTTTTCTGGATAGTAAATGTAGTAAATAGAATCTCCTTTTATATAAGTATAGATTGTATAATACGGAAATAGTAATGCAATAAATGTTGTTGACTTTTCTTTATACTAAACCTGGTAAATGGTATACCTTTTAATATAAGTATAGATATCTTAGGCTGATGTTAAGAATGAGTTTCTTCATGGTGATCTGCGCGAGGAAGTTTATAAACCCTCTCCGGACATGTTTGTCATCTTCATCACGCTTTATACAGAAATTCTATGGCACTCATACGAGCGTCATAAGTCACGCCACAATATGAGGTGGCTTTATCAATTTTATTTATTAATTCTAACATGGCAATGATATATAGATTTCAGATATGTCAAATTTATTTATTAAAGATACCCTTAGCCCATCTATAAAAAAATTCTTTCCTCAAAGGGTACGACATGTCAATCTCCAAATAAAAAATTCTAGGGATTTGCAGAAGAGGGCGAATTAATTTCTCGCAAAAAGATTGAGAATTTCAGGCTCAGCCTGCGTCAACCCGTCCGACCTGAAGCCGAAACCTCATACTCATTTCCCGAAATCCATATGCGGCCTCTGTGGTGGGATCAAACATTGTCAGCAAACTCATCTACACAGCCTCTGTGGTGGCGGCTTGACCTCTCAAACAAATAGAATAAAACAGCTATTATAAGGATTTCATTGATGAAACTTGCTGGACCCCACTCAATACCTCTTACCAAATCCTTACCCCATTTTTAGTTCTCTTGAATTCTTCTAATTTATAAGGGTTCACATATGGCAGTCTCTGCCACTCTTTGACTTTGGCCTTGAAATCCTTACTCAGCCGCATTCCCGGGCGGGTAAATCGTACATTAATTTGGCCCCATCTACAATGCTACAATCCTCTTTGCAATATCCACGGCCCGCCACCTGTCAGACAGCAGGGACCAAACAATCTTTAAATTTATCACTATCTTTGAGCAGCAGAATGTGGGTATTTGGCTCGTTTGCATCTTTGAGAGAGATAACGTCTTAATTCCTTGAAATAATTAACTAATTTTAATAATAAAAAACTTGATTAATAAGGTGAAAAAAAAAAGAAATAGTAATTTTAAATATATTGTTTGAAAAAATCTTTAAAATAAGATAACATTTAATGTGTCTTTATTATTAGTTAATAGTAGCAATTATATAATAAAATAAATAAAAAATATAATGGCAATTAATACAAAAGTAACAGAAAAAGGTGGAAAAACGAAAAGAGTTTTATTAATTGTTTTGCTATCAATTATATATATAGATGATTATTATTATTATTATTATTATTATTATTTTACATTAATTCACTCTATCCAATAAATTCATTCTATTAAATTTATTATTATTATTTATTATAATATTATATTTTTTATTCTATTAAGTGATTATTTTTTATATAAATTAATTTATTTTAATGTCATAGTAAAACAACTTAAATTGCAAAAGAAAATTTTATAATAAATTTAATATTTTTAGCTAATCAATTGATCATAATCCCTCAAAATTATAAAAATTATATTATTTATTATAATTTATGCAATTAGCATCCCGATTCATAAAATTAAATAGTTATGTACTTTTCATATTAACCAATTATCAGTTTGAAGCATAATACCATTATTTAACTTATAATCTAATATTATATACATAAACATAACTTATAATACTTTATGTATAACATATAATACCATTATCAACTTATAACTTTAATATTATATGCAATTGTGCAAATGCACATGATCAAATACTAGTTTTTATAAATGTAGTTTGTATTTTATAAATATGGTGTGAGTAAGGGAGGTTAGTTTTGTTTGCATATATCATAAGAGGTATTCATTAATATTTATAAATTAAAAATTTTAATTAATTAATAATTATAAATTCAAAACATGGAATCAATATGTAATACAATGTACCTATATTAATTTATTGAAAATGTTATATAAAATTCAAATTGTGTAAAATTACATAAAATGTCTATTTAAAAAATTAGTACACAACCCGTGCGTTGCACATAACTGATAAAAAATTACATTATATTCATTTCAAAATATATGGCATTTCAAAATTTTTATTCAAAAATTCAATTTGACTATAACGTGATTCTATAAAATAATAAATATAAAACTTATATTGTTTCATTAATTAAAATTAACTAATTTTTGTATAAAATATCTAAATAAAAAAATTTAAGTAGTTGAGTAAAAACAATCAGTTATAAGATTTTTTATGCCAAAAAAATCGACACTCTTTATCATGCTTAAAAAAAATGAACAGTGCATTTTACACAAAAATTATTTGAAATGCCATAACAAAAAATGAATTAGATCGAGACCCATTAATTAATAAAAAAAATTGACCAGAGTTTTTTCTATTAAAAAACATCAATACACGTACATTTATATCAAAATATCCGTTCATATTATTTTATCGGAGTTATGATAATTTTATTATGTCAATTTCATATGACAAAATTGAAATAAAAATTTGAAAATACTAAATATAAATTTGTCCACTTTATACCATATATTGATTAATTCACACGATTTGAATAATTAAGGACCAAATATAAATTTGTCCACTTTATACCATATATTAATTAGGCAAAATAACTCGTTATATCACGACCTTTTACCAATTGCTAAAACATCACGACTTTTGGACCTTGGCGGAGAATATCACGACCTTTGATTTCTTTGCAAAACGATACCCGAATGTCGGAAACCAGTCATCGGTGATTACGTGTCCGACGATTCTTTATTACATGGAATTAAAAAAAATGACGTGGAAATGATTGTCCCACGTGTGCAATGACATGGAAACGGCTATAAATACTCCCAAAAGCAGATTAAATCGATTAAAATCGATTCTCTTTCACAGAAACCCTAAATAGATCGATCAGTGAGAAAAAATAAATCCTCTTTCAACAAACCCTAAATCTCCTCTTCCATTGATTGTAAAATGCTGTGGGTCCCCCAAGCGGGAATCTTGCTTCAACATCGGACAACAGGTAGGTCAATCCATCGTTTTCTTTTTTTGGGAAATTGAAGAATGTCTGCGATAAATGTGAGATGCAATTTTCTTGTCTGCGATTGTTTAGCATTACTTAATTATATTTCTGGTTCATTGGATTATGGTTTAGGGTAAAGTGATGCTAGGGTTAATTTATTTGAATTTTATTTTGTTTTTTTTAATATGCAGAAATGATTTAGGGTAAAGTGATGTTAGGGTTAATTTATTTGAATTTCAATATGCAGAAATGATTTAGGGTAAAGTGATGTTAGGGTATTTTATTTTAATTTCATTTTGTTTTTTTTCAATATGCAGAAATTATTTTGCGCTTTTTTTACACCATGGGGGAAGATTTGTAACTATTGAGAACACTAAGGAGTATTTTGGAGGTGATGATTCTTTCAGATACGGGTTTGATATTGATAGGTTTGGTTATTTTGACCTTGAGGAAGAAGTTAAGAAAGTAGGATACAGTGAATGGGCTAGTCTTTACTACAAGATTCCCGGGACATTTGATTTCAAAATCAATTAGATAAGGAGGTGATGGAAATGATTGCTGTACTGCAGACATTGGACCATTATGATCATATTTATGTGTGAGGGTCTCGTTATGTACAAGTCACGAATTCAATAGCAAACGTAAACCTATGCGCAGCGGATATAAAGGTTTGACGTAGAGAACTTACAGCTTAAAATTTATGTAGATCTGGTTGACCACGAACGGTTGACCGCAATTCACGTCTTGGGTTGCACGAACAAGATCAGATCAAAACCGGATCAAATGGATGCAAACGGATCAAAACGAAACTTTGCAGCCTGGGAGCTTCCGGTGGCGCGTGAGGGCGCGTGAGGCATCGGAAGTCTGCGATCTCGGCGGCAATGGAAAGCTCTCGTCGAGACGGTCGTCAAGGTATGCTGTATGTCTCAATCGGACTTCCGGTTAGTTCTATAGGTCAAAATATATTTCGTCTCGGTTTACCTACAAATCTTCTACTGTATTACTCAATACACCCTTCTTCTACTTGTACCAGTGGAGCAACAAGAAGAAGATAAAGCTCGAATGAAATATATAGAGAGAGAGAGGCGTGGGGCGTGTCTCGTTAGAATGAGATTGAGATTCTCTTCTCATGAGCTTAATGATGTATATATAGAGCTACAGTAGGGACCCTTAGGAGATTAGGAAAAGGGCTCCTTAATTAATTAGACTAACTGTGGGCCAAGCCCACTCCTCTAATTAATTAAATAATATTAATGGGCCACCAACATTATATTATTGCACTCCATTTTCCTAGCCCAAATTACATGTGAGACTCCAATAATAATTACTTGATTTACCTCCCCATGTTTAAGATATAATGTCCATTAATTAATTCGATTACTGACAATCAAGAATTAATTAATTTATTATTATTTCACCGAAGCTAGCGCTCGTCCATCACATTCTTATTATGCCGGAACTTAATCCACCTGCAGGGTTTAGCATAACAATCCTTCATGAACTCACTCCGGGGACATCATCAAACTAACGCACATGGTGATCGTAAATATCTTAATAACACATCCTATATATAATAATATTACCCAAAACAGTAGGAATATTAATCCAGCGAACTGAACCTCACCCATTTGAATCAAAGTAATATATATTATATATATCTGCCTGTTTAATATCTTACAGGTTAGAGAATGCAGTAATTAACCGAGACCTAGTTCATTTACGACGATCAGTATAAAATGAACTTCTCTTCTCTGGGATCCTGTTCAATACATAAATGTATTAGTGCAACTAATCAGTCAAGACAAACTGTACAGTTGACACTACAACCGTTCGGATGGAGTGTTCATGTCCATCTAGGTTGTGAACAACTATTCTTGTTCGCAAGTGACTGATAGAGTGATCTTCGGTTCGCCCGATGACGACCCACCCTATCTAAGTGCAGAACAACAGAACGTAGAACTTGTTTAATCTAACATGATTCTCATTCATAAAGGGTAAATGTGTAATAACATGCAAAGCCAAGCTTTCAGTATATAACACTAACAATCTCCCACTTATACTTAAAGCTTTCGCTTTTACAGTAAAGTCCTATCAATCCGTTATTCTAAAAGACCTATGTCGATTCTATTGCCATGCTCATGACTCACATTCCTTCCACGTGTTTGACGAAGACCTTCCCTGACAAACTCTTCGTGAAAGGATCAGCTAGGTTGTCCTCTGACGCAATCTTGGCAACATCAACGTCTCCTCTACCAACAATATCCCGAATCAGATGGTATTTGCGCTCTATGTGTTTGCTTGACCTTTGGGCTCGAAGTTCTTTTGAGTTCGCTACTGCTCCACTGTTATCACACAACACGGTGATACCACGTGGCAAACTCGGTATAACCTCTAAGTCCACTAAGAAGTTCCTGAACCAAACTGCCTCTTTCGCTACCCCTGAGGCTGCTATGTACTCGGCTTCCATGGTGGAGACTGCCACCCATTTCTGCTTAGCACTCCTCCATGAAATGGCTCCGCTTCCCAAGGTAAACACATAACCTGAGGTTGACTTACTTTCATCCCTATCTGACTGGAAATCAGAATCACTGTAACCCAGAGGTAACAAGCTGCCTGCACGGTAAACTAACATGTACTCCTTAGTCCTTCTCAGCTACTTGAGTATATGCTTCACCGTAGACCAATGTTCCTGTCCCGGATTACTTTGATATCTAGCTACCATGCCAACGGCGTAGCTAATATCTGGCCTAGTGCACAACATTGCATACATGAGACAACGGATTGAACGACATGATGAATATCCTGAGAATCATGCACATAAATTTTACAGATTAAACACTTTTGAATTTAACTGTTAATATTGATATCCTCAAAACAACATTAACTTAAATCCACCGACATCTATTACACCTTGTGAGAATGCATGCTACGAGGGTCGCCCTACAAACTCGTATTTTGTAAGAGAAGGGCTTTTCTAAGGCCCATTAATTTCCATAACTTAAAACTAAATTCACGACGAACGAAATTAATAGTCGGTCTCCATTTGACCATGCAATAGAATTCAGGGACCCCGTGGGGGGTTAATAAATTTAATCGCATTCTAAGTGAATCCCATTTCTCGGTCTTAAGGTCGTCAAATTTGATTATACGTCATCCCAGGGGAAGCCCGTACGCTCTCATAAGATTTCCTCTAACCGTCTACTTTTAGAAATTTGTTCTGGTAATTTCCTACAATTAATTTTAGCAATGTCACCCGAGAGGGAGCCCATAACCGCAATTAATTGATTTACCGACAAATTAGAAACGGATGTCTTAGGAATTTTACAATTAACTATAATTTAAAATCCCTTCTCAAACTTAGTATTATTTTAATGAGGATTTTGAACTATTTATACAATTCCAAATTAATCTATGTTATTGCAATAATTAATAAACATGCATATTAATTCATGCAATTCTAAATTAATCTATGTCAATGTAATAATTAATTAACATGTTCAATAATTTATGCAATTCTAAATTAATCCATGCCGATGCAATAATTAATTAACATGCATAATTTATTGACACAGTTCTTAATTAATCCTATGCATTACATAATTAATTAACATGCATAATTAATCTTGCAATACTAAATTAATCCCATGCAAGAACATAATTAATTAATATGCATAAATTATAATTTAATGGCATAATAAATTTAATTAACTAAATAAATAAATCCACTATTATGGCCATTAAATATTGAGTCTCCTTAAACAAGGAAACTGTGACAGTTCTTTCCTTGTTCAACTGGAACTCCTTTAAGCAGTAGAATCCTGGTTGATCTTGTACTGCTTGGACATCAAGGCAAAACCTCTCCACCTTGCTGCAAGACGCCGCCGACCGCCGCCTCTGGCCACCGCTCGGCCGTCGACCGCCGGTGGTTGGAAAACCAATTTTTTTTTTTTATTCTTCGAGGCTCGTTGATCTCTTGTGATCTCCCGGTCATCAACACACGATCACAACACGAAAAATAAAATTTACAAAATTACATAATTCGATCCTAGATCCAACGAATGGATGTACATGTTTTCTAAACAAATAATTAAATCTATCCGGTCAACCCCCGGGCGAATAATTATTACAAACATTCATCCATAAATCCTCGACATGCCGAGGCTTTAAAAACAAATATAAAACCATACATCACATTCAACAACATTCATCAAACACATAATCGGCCATAATAGTGGATTAACTATTTATCCTGCAAAACCGAGTTATGCAAATGTAATCCAATATATGGCTGCGTTTGAGCACATCTTGTCAAATAAAGCCGTAAAAATTCGAATTTTGTACAAAACGAATTAACCAAGTGCTCTGATACCACTTGTTGGGATCTGTGAGGATCTCGTTATGTACAAGTCACGAATTCAATAGCAAACGTAAACCTATGCGCAGCGGATCTAAAGGTTTGACGTAGAGAACTTACGGCTTAAAATTTATGTAGATCTGGTTGATCACGAATGGTTGACCGCAATTGATTGACCGCAAATCACGTCTTGGGTTGCACGAACAAGATCAGATCAAAACCGGATGCAAACGGATCAAAACGAAACTTTGCAGCCTGGGAGTTTCCGACGGTGCATGAGGGTGGGTGAGGCGTCGGACGGCTGCGATCTCGGCGGCGATGGAAAGCTCTCGTCGAGACGGTCGTCTGGGTATGCTGTATGTCTCAATCGAACTTCCGGTTAGTGCTGTAGGTCAAAATATATTTCGTCTCGGTTTATCTACAGATCTTCTACTGTATTACTCAATACACCCTTCTTCTACTTGTACCAGTGGAGCAACAAGAAGAAGATAAAGCTCGAATAAGATCTAGAGAGAGAGAGAGAGAGGCGAGGGGCGTGTCTCGTTAGAATGAGATTGAGATTCTCTTCTCATGAGTTTAATGATGTATATATAAAGCTACAGTAGGGACCCTTAGGAGATTAGGAAAAAGGCTCCTTAATTAATTAGACTAACTGTGGGCCAAGCCCACTCCTCTAATTAATTAAATAATATTAATGGGCCACCAACATTATATTATTGCACTCCCTTTTTCTAGCCCAAATTACATTTGAGACTCCAATAATAATTACTTGATTTACCTCCCCACGTTTAAGATATAATGTCCATTAATTAATTCGATTACTGACAATCAAGAATTAATTAATTTATTATTATTTCACCGAAGCTAGCGCTCGTCCATCACATTCTTATTATGCCGGAACTTAATCCACCTGCAGGGTTTAGCATAACAATCCTTCATGAACTCACTCTGGGGACATCATCAAAATAACGCACATGGTGACCGTAAATATCCTAACAACACATCCTATATATAATAATATTACCCAAAACAGTAGGAATATTAATCCAGCTAATTGAACCTCACCCATGTGAATCAAAGTAATATATATTATATATATCTGCCTGTTTAATATCTTACGGGTTAAGAGAACACAGTAATTAACCGAGGCCTAGTTCATTTACGACGATCAGTATAAAATAAACTTCTCCTCTTTGGGATCTTGTTCAATACATAAATGTACTAGTGCAACTAATCAGTCAAGACAAACTGTACAGTTGACATTACAACCGTTCGGATGGAGTGTTCATGTCCATCTAGGTTGTGAACAACTATTCTTGTTCGCAAGTGACTGATAGAGTGATCTTCGGTTCGCCCGATGACGACCCACCCTATCTAAGTGCAGAACAACAGAACATAGAACTTGTTTAATCTAACATGATTCTCATTCATAAAGGGTAAATGTGTAATAACATGCAAAGCCAAGCTTTCAGTATATAACACTAACAGAAGGTGACAAGAAAAATGAAGCTTCAACAGGGAAGAATGGTGTTTGTTCTGAGAATGAGGATGATGAGGTTGACAATGAGGATGAACATGAGAATTTAGGAAAGAATGTAGTCTGTTCTGAGAGTGAGAATGAGGATGCCAATGATAAATCTGATTCTAAGGAAGATACCAATGATTTTATTGATAATTATAACATTGGAGTTCAAGATGAGCTTGAGCAGCCTAAAGGAGAAGAACCTACAAGGAGAGTTCTAGTTCAGATGGGCTATCAGCTGATGAACTTGGCACTGATGATGAATATTTAAAGGCAAAGAGTGAAAGAGCTGCACTCAGAAAAAATGTACCTCTTGAGAATGACCAACATGTGAACTTTCCTTCAGAACATCATGAGACTTTATCTGAAAATCTCTTGCAGACAGCAAGAGAAGAGGTTTCTGACTATGAAGACTCTCAAGATGACATCAACACTGATTCATCCAGCTTTGATGGGCCTAGTGGTGATGATGAAGAGCTTGGGAGGAAGAAAAGAACAAAGGCTCTGCTGTATGATCCTAAATGTGACCACAAGACTTCCAAATTTCAATTGTGTATGAGATTTGAAAGTGTTTCCCAATGTAGAGATGCCATTCAAACATATGCTACCTACAATGGTTGCAACCTCCAAATATGGAGAAGCTGTGCTATTCAAATTGAGGCCAAATGTCTGGAGAGTGTCCTTGGAAACTATATGGAAGCAGAATAAACACAGAAGGCAGAATAAGCATCAAAACTTTGATGGGTACTCACAATTGTTCTAGGTACATGAGGACCAGACAAGCTAATGCCAAGTGGGTTGCAAAGGAGTATTTGAACAAGTTCAGAAAAAAAAGACCAAGAATGAAAATTGTTGAACTTGAGGATGATATCCTACAGAGGTTTGGTGTTCATCCATCTAAGTGGGTTCTCTACAGAGGTAAGTACAGAGCCTTGAGGTTGCTGAGGGGCTCAGAACAAGAAAATTATGCATGTCTTAGAGGATATATGGCTGAGTTAAAAAGGGTTGACAGAGATGGCAGATTTGAGTTTTGGTTAGATGAGGGATCTATTTTTAAGAGTTTCTATATTGGTTTCACTGCTTTGAGAAAAGGTTTTTGAATGGATATAGACCCATTATTGGTTTAGATGGATGTTTTTTTTAAGACAATGTCTGGGGGTGTTCTTCTCTGTGCTGTTGGAAAAGATGGAAACAATCAGATTTTTTCATTGGCATGGGCAGTGGTGGTATCAGAAAATGAAGAATGTTGGAAATGGTTTGTGAGCATACTCATGCAAGAGTTGTGCATCAGTGATGGGAAAGGTAAGCCAATCCTATATTATTTTCTTAGTAAATTTTGTCACTTATTCACTGCATTTATTGTATTCACTCTAACTAATTTTAACTGTGTAGGGCCTCCTCAATGCCATCAAAGATTTGGCACCATTTGCAGAGCATAGAAACTGTGCCAGACACATTTACATGAACTGGAAGAAAACACACAATGGGGCAACCTCTGAAAAACAGATTTTGGAAGACTGTGCATTGCACTTTCATGGCTTCATATAAGGAGTCTTTGGAGGAACTTAAAGATGAGTGTTGAGGCATATGAAGACTTCATTGAGAAGGAAACTTTCAGGTTTTGTAAGACATTCATATCTAAAATTCCTAGATGTGAAATGATTTTAAATAATGTTTGTGAAACCTTTAATAGTACTATTGTGAAAGCCAGAAAGAAGCCAATTGTTGAAAAGTTAGAGATGATAAGGACTTATGTTATGGAAAGACATGTAGATAAGCTGAAATTGGGTTGTGCTGTGACTGATAAGATTTGTCCTAGGATTAGGGTGAAACTGGAGGAGTCTAAGTACAAAAGTAGAGAGTGTGTGTCTAAATCCTCTGTGGGAAATAAATTTCAGGTCACCATTTTGGATGACCAATTTGTGGTGGATTTAGTGGGTCATAGTTGCACTTGTAGGGCTTGGGATTTGTCTATTGTTCCATGTTTGCATGCATGTTCTGAAATTCATTGGTTGAAAGAAGATGCTACTGATTATGTGCATCCCTATTTGAGCTTGGAGAGATATATTGTTGCCTACTCTACCCCTTTGGAGCCTTTAAATGGGAAAAGGATGTAGCCTGAGGCTGTTGGGGAGCCAATTAAACCACCACCTTATAGAAAAATGTCAGGCAGGCCAAAAATGAAAAGAAGAATTGCACCAGAGGAAGAGGCAAAAAGTGCTACAAAACTGAGAAGGTTTGGGTTGAAAATGACATGCCAAAGATGTTTTCAGACTGGTCACAATAAAAATACATGCTCAAATGAAACTGTCTCTAAATCAGCCCCAGTGAGTATATCTTATTAGTTTATCACCTTTAATTTATGTTCTTTTAGTTGTCCTAATACTCTCTTAAATGAATACTTGCTTTTTTTGTTTTTGTTTTTGTTTTTGTTTTTTTTTCTTTTTTGTAGAGACCAAGAGGAAGGCCTAAGAAGGAGGTGACATCTCAGCACAAGTCAGTAGAGATCAAAATGTAGCCCAGAATAATCTCGAAACAGCAAGAAGAAGAAAAAATCCTGCTAGAGCAGCCTCTACAAGTTCAATGACATCTGCTGGGATAATAAGGAAAGAGAAGGCACAGGTAATCCAAATTTCTAACCTTTTAAGCATTCTGAGTGTTCTGAGTACAAGTTTCTCATATTTTTAACATCATTATTTGAGATAATCAAACATTACAGACAAGAAAAGGTTATGGGGTAATGGTCTCTGAGAAAACTGTGTGAACATATACATGAAGGTATATGTTCATTAAATATGTATATATATGATGTGAATCTGAATTGAGTGTTTGCATGAATATGTGTTGACTGAAATTTTTTTGTTTTGTTCAATAGATGCCAGAAGAGAAAAGGGTTCATTTTGTGCCAAATAGAAGGGCTCCAGCAAATGCTACTAGGGCTAACAACAAGAAGAAAAGAAGTGGCTCAAGTGTTGAGGAAATCTGTGAAACTCAAGAGAGTGTAAACAAGCAGTCAAAAGTTCAGAAGAAGTAGTATAGATTAGAGACTTTTTTCTTGTAATCCAATGTTTTGTGTAGTCTAAGAACAAGGATTATGTTTGTGGTGTTGATTGACAGTTTGTGTTGATCTTATGCTTTTGTTTGTTGTTTTTCTATGGTTGGGGTGTAACTCAACAAATTGGCACTTTGTATGGTCTAAAAACATCATATTGATGCAACGTTTGGAATGTTAAGGAAATGTTCATTCAAGTTCATCTTCATTTCATTCTAGCTTATTTATACACAATGATTTTTTCATGCAAGTAAAGGTTTATTCATATCTGGAGCAGAGGGGTCAGGGTGTTGGGTTTGTTGTGGTTTGTTGGGGACAGAACAAAACTGTAACAATGGCTATTAGCCTCATCACATACAATCATCTTCACCAAAATAAATCATCAACATACATAAACGAAACTTCAAATAGCATAATCTTGTTCATTACAAAACCAAAACAAACCTCCAATTTGGATACACCAACATTTTGGATACAAGATATCATCATATCATCTCCAAACCAAAACAAAACATTCATCTTCTCAAACCAACAACTCAATCTCCAAACATTCATTTCTAATCAACATATCATCATCTTAAAAAAAACCATCATCTTCTCCACTTAATCATCAAGCCATCATCAACCAACCACAGACAAGAACCAAGACACACAAAAACAATAACAATTTCTTTTCTTTTCTTCCCTTTTCACAAGTGTCTTTCAGCTTCTCCAATTCATCATTTTCGATTTTAAACAAATCCATCTCATTAATCTTCATTTCTAGCTTCTTCTCCAATTCATCATTTTCGATTTTCAAAAAATCCATCTCCTTAACCTTCATTTCTAACCTTTCAGTCAATAGTTTCTCCATGACTTCTTTGCATCGCAATTGCTCTTCAAGGGACTTAACTTGCCTTTTCAACTTCAAATAACACCCTTTCTGATAAGGTGGAAGTTCAGGATCCAACCAAAGAAAAAAACGACAATCTTTGCCCTAAAAAATGGTAAAACTTGCAAATTAGTACTTTATGATCCAAACCCTAAAAAATAAAATGAGAAAAAAAAACCAAAGCAACACAATAACTCACATTTTAAGGGCTGCAATGGTAGAACCTCCTTGCTGGGTTGTGCTCTGTTTTTTATGTTAGTAATTCTGCTTCCACGCCATGGTCGCATGTAACTTTTGGGCCAGAAGATGTCCTCCAAGACGAGTTAGTAGATTCGGTTGACATGGAGCTTCAATTTCGTCGCCCAAAAATTAGGGTTCTTGTATAACAATTAGGGATTGGGGGTTTTTTTTTTTAATTTGAAGTGAAAAATTTGATTTGTGGGTATTTATAGTCGTTCCCATGTCATTGCACACGTGGGACAATCATTTCTACGTCATTTTTTCTAATTCCATGTAATAAAGAATCATCGGACAGGTAATCACCGATGACCGGTTTCCGACATTCGGGTATCGTTTTGCAAAGAAATCAAAGTTCGTGATATTCTCCGCCAAGGTCCAAAAGTAGTGATGTATTAGAAATTTGATAAAAGGTCTTGATATAACGAGCTATTTTTCCTATTAATTAATTCACATCATTTGAATAATTAAGATATCTTAAAATATAGTTTAATTACTTTTTCAAATAATAAGCCACAATTTCCATAAATGATCATTAGAAATATACCATAAATTATTAAATCAATTTTCTTAAATAGTAAATATATTTTTTTTTAATGAAAATAGTTACTATTTAAAAATTAATCAAACATTTTTATATATCTATAAATATATAGATTTTGCCCTTTTATTGTGGCCTTTTTTCAACCATTTATGGGCCAGAAAAACGTGGGCTGAGCTCATAATTGGGGTATTAGTTCTAGACTTAAAAGGCCTGCAAATAAATATCCCAACCGGATTTTATTCCTCTCTCCAATCGCCACAGAAACCCTAGCCGCAGAGCTCACTCATTCGCGTCATTCTTTCCGAAGCGCAGAGATTCCCACACACAGCAACAATGGTGATCGATTACTTCCTCCGCTTCACACTGCACTAACAGATTATCCATTTTGTAAACCTCTTCATTACAGTGTGCGTTTTTCGTGTGTTTTCAGGCGGATGTCGAGACCGCGTTGGCGGCGGGGCAGCCGAAGAAGAGGACGTTCAAGAAGTTCAGCTTCAGGGGAGTCGACCTCGATGCTCTCCTTGATATGTCCACTGATGAGCTCGTCAAGCTCTTCAGTGCCCGTGCCAGAAGAAGGTAAACTCTCTTTCTTTACAGTGATGATTCTATCTCTACTCTGCTCATTGCCTTTAATGGACTCTGATGATAGCGAGAAACTTAATTTTGGGCATTTCTTTTGAAATCTTAAATGCCTCGAGAGGTCTTAGGGAAGCCAAACACGTTTTCGTGTTTGATTTTTTTAACCCTTTTTTCTCCTCTGTATAAAGCTTGGTAACTTTATTTGTTGCTCTATGGAAAATTGTTTGTGGCCATGGTGTAAAGAAATTAGTCCAGTGGCCATGCATTATGGAGATTTCACTTTCATACTGTGCTGTTTTCATGATGAAATGTCAGGTTCCAGAGAGGTCTTACTAGGAAGCCAATGGCTCTGATCAAGAAGCTGCGCAAAGCGGTTAGTCATTTTTCAAGTCAAATTACTATGTCAACCTGTCTGTATTGTGGTAAATGTTGATTGTAATGTGAACCTATTATACGTCGTTTGATTTGATTGTACCTTGTGAAACTTTACACTAGTTTCGTATCATTACCATTGTCTTCATTCGAGGCAGCCAAAGTGAATTTGAAAACATGTATTTTCTATGGTCAACAAGCTTTGGAATTCTATTTTTCAGAAACCATCAAAATGATAAATTCAATCAAAATATTTGCATTGTTGACCCATGCATTTTAAACAACTCTGGCCTTCCCAAAATTGCTGAACATTGTTTAATCAATGTGTTGGAATTGAACGCTAATGGAAATGACCTCTAATTAATTATTAACGTGAATGTGAATGTTCCATATATAATACTTTGCAAAGTTGAGTTGAGAGATTCATAGTCGATGATAGTCATATTGTATTGTACACAATTGATGGATACATGAAACGGTAATTATTTTGCAGAAACGTGAGGCTCCAGCTGGCGAGAAACCTGCACTGGTGAGGACTCACCTTAGGAACATGATAATTGTGCCGGAGATGATTGGTAGCGTACTTGGAGTGTACAATGGCAAAACTTTCAATCCAGTCGAGATCAAGCCTGAAATGATTGGCCTCTATCTTGGCGAATTCTCGATTTCGTACAAGCCAGTCAGGCACGGGAGACCTGGTATTGGTGCCACCCACTCTTCAAGATTCATTCCTCTCAAATGAGAATATTTGTTCCCATTTCAATTTTGCTCCCTCCCTTTCTTGGTTAATTTAAGTGTCAGATGTTATTTCTTGTTATTACTTTCAGAATAGACAAACTTGTGTCTGAACCTGTGTTTGGATAATTTTATTTGATGGATGTTTATTTTCAGTAGACTTTTTATTGTCGTGGTTCACCAGGAAAGCCGACCTCTCTTCTTCGACGTGTGTCTACTATATATCATATGAAAGCTTAAACTAAAAGAAATCACAACGCAAAAGCTAGACTTAACGCTTGATTAGAATGATTGATTGTTCTATATCTCAATATTATCAGTTGAAACTTTATCATATATGATACATATATTCCTTGTAGGTTGCTAACGTGCCGTGTGTCCGGTTCATTTTTTCCTAAGAAATGCTTTCATAAAAAACGGAACAGGGCAAGAAATGTGATTCAACAAAGTCGAGATGATCTCCATTATGAACATATGCCTAAAGGACAAATCAAAATTGAAGTGATAATAATTAAAAAAAATGGAGAGGTGCTGGAAGTAAAACGTAATGAAATCAAACATGAAGTGATATTTAATTGAAATAAAATGAACAGTTGCTGTAGATAAAACGTAAATAAAGTTTAGTTGCTTATTATAAAAAATATAAAATCTTCAATTATATTTTTTTTTAATTTTTTATTTTTTTTTTAAATTTAATACTATGCGGTTCGAAATAGAATCGAAAACCAAACAAATTAAGGGAAAATTGCACTAAACCCTTTTACAAAATGTGTGCGTTACTCTTGTGTTTTAAAAATTGCGTGACACCCCCTTATATTTAACTAGTCGATGCACACGCTCCCTTTTTTTCATTTTTCCCGTTAACGATGTTATTTTTTTTCTTTGAAATTCTGTTATACCCTCTGAATATTTTATATATATTTGTGATAAATTGAATATATCACGATATTTTAAAAATATCACGAAAAATTGGCTAAAAAATATTGTAGCCCATGAGGTTCAAACCTGAGATCTCTAAAGAGGCAAGCATTGCCACCACTACCACTCAAGTATTAGTGTAAGATTTAATATATATAGACATTCATATGGATGAATTTACCTCTTATAAAAAATTGAATAATTTTCGCAGGTATAGAAGGTGTGTTACACGTGGTGGGAGCCATGCACCAATTACTTAGATATAATGGAGTTTCGCGCATTTTTTAAAACACAGTAGAAAAACACGCATATTTCGTAAACAACGCGTTATATTTTTCCCATAAAAAAAATGAGTTATATCCCTATTTACAAATAGAGATCAGAGAGAAAGAGTGACACAAAAAATAAAAAAGAAAGAAAAAGAATACGCATAGGCGCAATGTCGATGCCTTCATTCTCGTTGAAAACAGAAGCTTGGTAGGACGATGATTTCGATGCAGATTGGCTACAAGGAGAAGGTTCAACTCTCGATGGTAGCTTGGCTTGTGATCGGCGCCGCACATGGTTTGTTGTGTGTGCGGCCAACGAAACCATGAGGAAGACAACTATGTGGTTATTAATAGTAATCTGTTTTTAAAAAATTGCACCAACACACCACGTCAATATTATCGCGAGAAATTGACTTAAAATATATTGCTGCCCACGGAGTTCCAGAACCTGGGGAAGTGTGTGGCAAGCATTGTAACCTCCACGCCACTTCAATATTATTGTTAGATGTAATACACATTTTTATACAGACATTACATATGGAAATTAATCAAATTAAATTCACAAAGATAATGTAAATTATATTAAATTAAATTAATAAAAATTTTATTTATTTTGTTTAACTTAAGACAATGAAATAGAATCAAAATAAATTTTGCTAAATAAAATTTAGAAACTAAAATTATTTATTAATTAAATTCACTTATTAAAAAATGATAATATATTTCTATTTTTTCATATTGTATGTAAGAGTAAATTATACTAAAAATATTTGATAAATAATATTTTTTATTTTATTATATTAGTTTAAGATTTTTTTTTATTTTAATTTATTATTTCATAATAAGTTATTTGATTTATTAGTTTATTTTACTTTAACATTTTTATATTTTATTAAATTATATTGTATTATTTTTGTTTTAATCTAACTAGTTACTTTAACTTTACTAGTGTGTATCCCGTGCGATACACGGGAACAATATTAAATTAACAATATTATAAATAGATCTCGAGTTTGAGTCACTGACGGAAGTGAAAACTACTATTGATCCTATTTAAAAAGAAGAAGAAAAATAAAATAATTATAAAGTAAAGAGGAGGATAAACAATACTTAATAATTATAAATTAAATATTCAGGGTCAAACAATGTAAAACTATTTTTTATAAGAAAATATGAAATTTACATTATTTTGTATAAGAGAATATAAAATTTGTATGTTTAATATTAAAAACACCTAAAATATTATATTAGTATATATGTAAAAGTATTCAAAATTTTCTATATTATTTTTGAAATATGTGAAGTCACCTACAACTTTTCTAAACAATTTTAAAAGAAAAACATATCTAAGAATATTTGAATTTAACATTGTGTAAAAAAGATTTTTCTAGACTATTTTGTAAAGAAAACATGTCTATATTTAAATTTAATATGTATATATATATATATATATATATGCGTATGTTCTGTATAGTTTTTGAGAGATAATAATTCAACACGTGTATTTGTTTTAGGAAATGAATAACAAACTTAATATCAGTTTTGAATATTGATAAGGTGTATGAAATATTTTCTCCCGGATTTTTGTTTTTGAATCTTAAATTATCCCAAATATCTTCTCCTTATAATACGACTTTTTTTTTCTTCAATTTATCGTTAAAAAAATATTGAAATGGGATTATTTCGTTACTACAAAAAAATATGTGATAAGGATGCTCGTGTGAAATGGGATTATTTCGTTACCATAAAAAATTATGCGCTATTAATGAGGCGTGTGAATTGGGGTTATTTCATGAGAATTAAATCGGTATAAATAATGAGTTTAAAAAGCGTGTGAAAAAGACATAAATGCTGAGCGTCTGAAATGGACATAAGAGTTACCGATTTTGGAAAGTAATAAATACAAAATTGACTTTGACCATTAATTAAGTTACTAATTTTGATAAATGTTAATTCTTATTATATAAGTATAGATTTATTTTTTAATGTAAGTTTATTATTATTATTCATTTCCAAATTTATATAAATAATTTTATTTTAATAAACAAAAAATAGAAATTTATTCAAATTTATTTAATTTAATTCATGATACTATAATAAATTTTATCTTACTTTATTTGGGATGTATAATGGTGAAACTTATGATAACTGGCGTTTTGACTTCCGTAAATTTAATTTGAAATGTATTAATGGTGAAACATAGTACGTTTATTGTCATTTGGTACTTGTTATGTTTTAAGACTCTTCCGCTGTGAGTTTGTAATTAAATTTTATTCAAACCAGGTTTGTATAACTTGTTTTCCAACTGTCAAACTCATGTCACCGAATTAAGTCTTAATCTTAGTTATTTTTTCTTTTTATTTGTTATTATCGTTTAATTATCATTCGTTACATCACTGTTTGGTATCACGCCCCCATCCAATTCAGTGAGAGCCGTGATATTTTATTCATTATTATATAAATATTTATATGAACAATCTGATAGTGTATTATAACTTTTAATGTGAAATAAATGTTATTCATATATTAAATTCATAATATAATTTTTATATTACTTTCTGCACATGCACTAGTGCACATGATAATAATTAGCTAAAAATATTATAGTCATGAGCTATTCACCCCAAAAATCTTTTACTAAAGACCCCACTAATGTGGAAGTCCCAACTGCCCAATCCTCACACTCTTCAGTCTGGAATTCGTATCTTAAACCCTCTCCTCTCCATAAAGCAGAGCAGAGGGGAAAAACAAACCTAAAAGCAAAGGTCCGATCCCCTGTCTCCCTTTTAGCGTTCTCTCTCTTTCTCTGTCTCTCTCTCTCTGTGTATGCGAGTAAATGAAATGTTTAGTTAACATGTCAACTTCCAATCGGTCAGGTCGCTTTCTGGGTTTGTGAATGTATAGGGTTCAATAAATATAAAAAATCAATGTTTCGGGCTTTTAGTTTGTTGATTGGCTTATTTCTTTATATTTTTAATCAAAATGCAATCTTTAGCTGTTGCAATCTCTAGTTGGTAGTATATTTGCTATGTAACTGGTTTAACTGGATTGAGCTTCTATCCGTCTTATTATTATTACTATTATTATATTATTATTGAGATACAATTCTTGGGGTTTAATGATGTGGTGGGATTTCAATCTCATGAAATTATTTGAAGTGTTTTATAGGTTTTGGGTTTCCAAAAGCTTCATATTACATTGTAGGTTTTGTTAGTTATTGAAAAGTTTTCTGCTTTAATGCTTAATCTATTAATTTATTATAGTATTACACATATGCGGCACGGAATCTTTGTTTGATGATGAAACCACTAATGAAGCAACGCAGTAGAAATTTAAGGATTTTATTTTCCAGTGAACAGAATCATATGAGAGCATGATTGGTATATGGGAATGGACCATGAATGGAATGATCATTCCTTATGTGATTCTTATTCCTATACTTGGTATGTTTTGTTGCCAAGGAATGACCATTACCATGGAATCACTATTCCCATGATTATGGGATTATTCATTCCTCCCATAACCCATGGTTTTAGCCATTCCAATTCCATTGGGAATGAATATATTAATTTCCTTTTAACAAAAATATCCAAAATTACTACGCATCTGAAAAAGAACCCTTCATCTTATTTGTTCATTCATCTTTTCATCTTCTCAAACTCAAAAACCACGCATCTGAAAAAGAAAAAATTCACACCACCGGCCTTCATCACGACCCCAGGTAAAAATTCCGACCTCAAACATCTTTTTTTTTTTTCATTTTTTAATTCCAATTCTTATGTGTATATACACGCAGTATATACATTCGTACATTTGCTTATTTTTGTCACGTTTTGAGATTATTTTATGATTACAAGTTTACTTTTTTCTAATATTCAGTTTGTTAAATTGTAGCAAATTTTGAATGATCTTTATATTTAAGAAGATTATTTATTAAAATAATTTAAATATGTATTAACTTTCCTTAACATTTTTGTACATATTTCTAATGCACAACGAAAATAAATCAACAAATTAATATATATTTCTCTTAAAAAGATAATTTATACTCTTTTATTAATGTAAATAATTGTTGTTAAAACTGAACATATTTTGTTGATATAGTGAAGGAATTTTTACATTACACACACTCATATAAATAAATAAATAAATAAATAAATATATATATTTGCAGATGCCAACAGTTAATTTTTAATTACCAATCATGTCAATGGTATCAAGTCAGGAATAAGTGTTTCAATCCTTGCCAATACCAATCGCAGGTATGGGAATGCTTATGGCTTTCCATTCCAGTTGTCATTCCTTTCCATAGCTCATTTCATTCCTTCTTAATTCCATTCATTCATACCAATCATGCTCTGAAGGAAATGAATGTGGATAGACAGCTATCTTGAAGCTTCTGACTTGATTTTTGCCTTCTTCTCACATTTTTGTGATTGTGATGCTTGGTAAAATGACAATTAGGATGAATAGGTGGGAGAAGTTATGATTCAAAATTGAATAATAACTTCAACCTTTTCATTAATTTCATTAAACTACTATGGGAAGCTCTGTAGATAACTAATTTTTTAGGTTAATTTTAACTGAGTGAATTCAGTGTTTTCTTATTTGATTTTTTTTTTTTTTTACTCTCTGCAGCAGCTACTTGGGATTCAAGCTGACTAAACTTTCCAAATTCCTGCTCTTGCTTCTCAATTGGATTAAAGGAATTTAGAAATCCCGCACTAAACATCCTTTGTGGGTTTTAACTTTTAAGAGATAAGAGTGACAAAAATGCAGAATGATACTTCTTCCGGTGGTACATCAGCACCTAATGGGCTCACTGCCCGTTTACGCCGACGTAAAGGTTCGAATGAGGTAAGTTGTCTTTTTTAGCTGCCATATACTAATTGTATAGATGCTAATTGGCTTAAAATTTCAATTCCTAAGTCTTTTTCACAATCTGTTAATCCAGGTCCCCCCTGAAGTTGATAGAGGTAATGCAAACCATTTGCTCGTTAATGACGGAAACAAATACAGGTCGATGTTAATACGTACATACTCGACTGTCTGGATGATTGGAGGGTTTGTCCTGATAATTTACATGGGTCACCTCTATATATGGGCCATGGTTGTTGTCATTCAGATTTTTATGGCTAAAGAGCTTTTCAGTTTGCTTAGGAAAGCGCATGAGGACAGCCATCTCCCAGGTTTTAGGCTCTTAAATTGGTGAGTAACTCACTTTCTTTTGAACTGTGTCACTGTCACATCCATGTTTGTGGGATTCTAGCTTTTCTCCTTGGATCATCTATGATTCAACTTTGTACATTTCCACATTATACAAAGTTTATTGAAAATATGATTAGTATCTCTATCTTATATTTTGTTCCCTTTGGCTTAAAAAAGACTTTTACTTTATTTCCTTATAATTACTTTGCCTTTGGCCATAAATAGACAATGCCCTCCTTTTTGTTTGCTTAAAGAGTATTTGCTTCATTTAACTTTTACGAGATTTTTCTCAATTTGTGGAGAAATGTAAAATACAAAGAGCTTCAAACCTATGATTATTTTTTCTATTCTAATAATCAAATAACACACACCCTTCTAAACTTCATCGATCTCTTTATTGAATATTAGGAAAGTGTGGTCCACTACTTTATGCAATACAGTAATGTTGCTATTTGAAAATATTCTGACAGGAAAAACTTCATGTCATTTTGTTTTATGTTTTTGAGCGTACAATGCTATGGATTCTCCTTAACCTTTTACTAATTTAATGGGTTGCCTTACTTTATTGGACTTTTCCTTTCATTATTGACAATTTTTATTCTTAGCATTTTTACTTATCTCATATGTTAGTCCGATTTAATATGCTCTTTTTTTATTTTTATTTTTATTTTACATTTTTGGTAATACCACTCCGTGTTGCTTTCAGGCACTTTTTCTTCACGGCAATGCTATTTGTGTATGGCCGTATTCTGAGTCAGAGACTTGTGAATACTGTTACTACAGACAAATTCTTATATAAGCTTGTTGGCAAATTAATCAAGTATCACATGGTTACATGTTACTTTTTGTACATCGCAGGTTGGCATGACCTCTATCTCTCTCTCTCATGGTGTAAAATATTCTGATGGTTTCGTTCTGCTTTACATTATATTGGAATGCTATTATTTAAAAGTGATAACATTTGTAATTACGATAGAACAGTTAATTGGTTATCTTTTGCGGTATACGTAGGTTTTATGTGGTTCATACTTGCTCTGAAGAAGAAGATGTATAAGTATCAGTTTGGCCAGTATGCGTGGACGCATATGATATTGATTGTGGTGTTCACACAGTCTTCTTTCACGGTGGCAAATATTTTCGAAGGAATATTCTGGTAACACGAGTTTGATTTATCCGGTTTAGCGTTGTTAGTTGCATCATGGTATTATTTTCTTTTATGTTTTCTTGTTAGGCATGGTGCCATCAGATATTGAAAAATATTTATATTCATTCACCAACTAAAATACACTATTCATGATCACATTTTTCTCTCATTTTCTTTCTTTCATTTTCTCAATATGATTTTTGAATAAAAAATAATCATTCATATGCATTCTCTGTTAAATTTACTTTTCAATCCACTCACCTATTTATATCTACCAATCACAATTTAGCTATTTCCCTATCACATCGCAATTAATTATGACTATTTATATCACATCATTTCACATTGTAAAAATAATCAGTTCTTCCACTAATATTGTTTCTCTTACAAAAAATTTTATTTCAAATGAAACATCCAATTGCACTCTATAATTTAGTAGTATCCCTTTATGACTTACAAAAAACTGGTGCAAAGGCCTTACTCCTTAGAGTTACTTCTTAGCCTTGTTAACAAATGATTGTTGCAAAACCTCCAAGCTTCATTTCTTTTCTGTTACAACTTACACCCCATAAAACTGTATAATTTACGTGGAGTCTGCTGACACAGATCAAATTATATTGAAATTTTGTGCACAAATTTCAACCCTGATTGACGACAATGCAATGCAGGTTCCTTCTTCCAGCATCTCTTATTGTCATCAACGACATTGCTGCTTACATTTTCGGGTTTTTCTTTGGGAAAACACCTTTGATCAAGCTCTCACCAAAGAAAACATGGGAGGGTTTCATTGGAGCCTCTGTTACTACCATGATCTCTGCCTTCATTGTAGGCCCTACCTCATTTTTACCCAATTTTAGTAACTTAATATGAGACACTGGTCAATCTTTTTTTTTTTTTTGTTCTTCAGCTGGCAAATATATTGGGTAGGTTCCAGTGGTTAACGTGTCCAAGGAAGGTAAATACTATCTGACACTTAATTTTTTCTTCTTAATTAGTTTTTAATCTAGAGAAACTTAATTTTTCTACTGACTATATCTAAATACATAGGATTTATCCACTGGTTGGCTACAGTGTGATCCTGGGCCATTGTTTAAGCCTGAATATTTTGGTGTGCCAGATTGGTTTCCTGTTTGGGTAAGTGCTTTGACTGTCTATTCTTGATTACTTGCTGTTATCAAAGGAATTTTGATGTTCATAAAATTGCTTGTCATATGCAGTAAGTGTGTGTTAATGTGTATGGATTTCTCGATTTACTATGATTATATATATTCAGAGATGGAGGTGGTTTTACGGACACAGTTATCGGTCTGGGTTATAAACGATTAGGGTGTGTTTTGATTGTGTGAAAGAGTCTGGATTACATTTAACCAGATCATTTGTTTATTTTAAATTTTTAATTTATTTCCTTTTGTTTAGAAAAATATATTTTTGGATTGAGGGTATTTTTAATAAACAAATATAAGTTCTTATATGGCTCTATTGCTAACTTATTGTACCCCCAAAATGGGTATCACAATCATCCCTCTTTGCTCTCATTTTTGTAATTTGATGAGTTGTAACTTATTGTACCCCCAAAATGGCTATATTTTTGGATTGAGGGTAATTTTTTTTTTCTTTTTTGAAGTTTCCTTGGAGACAGATTTCTATCTTGCCCGTGCAGTGGCATGCATTATGTCTGGGCCTCTTTGCATCGATTATCGCACCTTTCGGTGGCTTTTTCGCCAGTGGCTTTAAAAGGGCATTCAAGATCAAGGTTTTCAGGCGTAACTGTTTTTGTATTGCATGTTTGCATGATTTTGACGTTCTTATGTTTGGAAATGTTCATTTTTTGGTTTGTCCAGGATTTTGGAGATAGCATTCCTGGACATGGAGGGATCACTGACAGAATGGATTGCCAGGTAATATGTTATACGAGGCAATGTTATCTCAGCCTTGTATGAATAATTTATCTCACTTTCAGCATGAGTAATTTAGGGAGAAATCATACTCAAAGCACATTATTTATTTTGACTTATTTATGAAAATATCTTATCTATATTTTAAATTTCAATATTAGAGATACCTCGTTTGGCTGTTTTGCACACTATGCCTGTTGAAGGGAGAATCTAACAAACAAAAAACCTCGATGTAATTCCAGGAAATAAAAGAAAAAAAAAGAATGAACATTTTATGATTATTCAGAATGTCAGGGGTAGTTTTTGTCATTATTCCTAGTAGTTTCTCTTCTTAAAAATTACATTTATGTTTTCACCATGAAATGTGCAGATGGTGATGGCTGTGTTTGCGTATATTTACCATCAGTCATTCGTTGTAGCGCAAAGCTTGTCAATTGAGATGATTATGGAGCAGGTTATTATATTATAAATTATAGATTAGCCGTGATCAATTATTACTTTTTACGAATCTTATCTACTAAGTTATTTTATTTACTCGAAAATTTTACTAACTTATTTCTTTACTCGAAAATTTTGCATGTGGCTTAGATACTGATAAACCTCCCGTTTGAGGAGCAGAGAGCTGTGTACACAAAACTTGGACAGATAATCATGGAAAGGCAGTTTGGGGAATCCTGAATTCAGAGAACATGGCATGTTTTATTTAAACCTAGCTTAACGCTTCTTGTAGTTTATTTTTCTTTGAAATCTAGTCTTGTACATGATTATTTTTGGGCCTCCATTTTATACTCGTAATGAGAAGGTCCCTGCAGAAAACCAGCGCCTTTTATGTTGTACAGTGATTTTGCCTTAATGTGTGTGTGTTTAGATACAAGTGCCAAAGTTTGGTTGTTTTTTTTTTTTTTTTTGGTTATTTATTTATCTATTTACTGGGTCTTCATATCAGTCTATGACCACAAATTAGATCAACTCTCTGCTATACCCATGTTTATTAATTACCAGATATGCATGATTAATTATTCATTAGCTTAATGACATGAACTAGTTTTTGTCCCGTGCATTTGCAAGGAAAACTATATGATACATGAAAAAATAATAAAAATTATAAACAATAGTAAAAATCATAACAAATTCATTGAAAAAAATTAAAAAAAAGAATATAAATATTCTTAAACACTTCTTTATAAAACAACGTTATGGGTTTTTCTATCGTCAAAATCTCCCTCAACTGAAATCAAAATCTTCAAACTCCACTGACTCGTAATTCTAAAAAGCGCCACGTATAATTGCTCATGACTAAATGCAGAGCTCTTCAGTAGTAAGCCGACGTGCGACAGAGACTGTCTTTGACTCTTATTGATCATGTCATAGCATATGAAACACTTCTTTATATTGTTTGTCCTTGACTCTTATTGATTGATAGAGATTGTCCTTGCTTCTTAATAAAAAAAATACCATCTAAATATAAATGAGTAACTATAATATTAATTTTTAATATAAACAAAAAATTTAAAGTAATTGATAATGAGTATAGAATTACCCTTGCGGATTCAAGTTATTTCAACGTTGTTCTTTTTATATATCTAAGATTTAATTTTTTTTTTCTGATTTATATGAATATAAGCACATTTGACTAATTTTTATAAAATTTATTGAAAAAAGTTACTATTTTTTTGAAACACTGATAAGATATTAAGATGATATTGTACTTAACATAAATGTGGGATTAATTAAAATAAATCTTTTTAATTTAATCATTAAATAATTAAATTTAACTATAAAAAACCTTCTTAAATGTGAGTTTAATGAGTAATTAATTAAAAAAAATGTAACTCCTTTTGGAGGGAAAGTGAAAATATTTTTATTAAATGTTTTATTAAATGGGATTAGCTAGCAATTATATATACTAGTTTTTGTCCCGTGCATTTGCACGAAAAACTATACGATACATGAAAAAATAATAAAAATTATAAACAACAGTAAAAATCATAACAAATTCATTGAAAAAAATTAAGAAAAAAAATATAAATATTCTTAAACACTTCTTTATAAAACAACGTCGTGATTTTTCTATCGTCAAAATCTCCCTCAGCTCAAATCAAAATCTTCAAACCCCACTGACTCGTAACTCTAAAAAGCGTCACGTATAATTGCTCATGACTAAATGCAGAGCTCTTCAGTAGTAAGCCGACGTGCGACAGAGATTGTCTTTGACTCTTATTGATCATGTCATAGCATAAGAAACACTTCTTTATATTGTTTGTCCTCGACTCTTATTGATTGATAGAGATTGTCCTTGCTTCTTAATAAAAAAAATACTATCTAAATATAAATGAGTAAATATAACATTAATTTTTTATATAAACAAAAAAAATTAAAGTAATTGATAATGAGTATAGAATTACCCTTGCGGATTCAAGTTATTTCAACGATATTTTTTTTATATATCTAAGATTTAATTTTTTTTTTTCTGATTTATATGAATATAAGCACATTTGACTAATTTTTATAAAATTTATTGAAAAAAATTACTATTTTTTTGAAAAACTGATAAGATATTAAGATAATATTATACTTAACATAAATGTGAGATTAATTAAAATAAATTTTTTTAATTTAGTCATTAACTAATTAAATTTAACTATAAAAAACCTTCTTAAATGTGAGATTAATGAGTAATAAATTAAAAAAAATGTAACTCTTTTTGGAGGGAAAGTGAAAATATTTTTATTAAATGTTTTATTAAATAGGATTAGCTAGCAATTATATATATATAGATATAGATTAATTATGGAATTGCGTATATTAAATGTCTTAATTAAAATACTAAATGGGAAGGAAATTTTATAATTATAAGCTAATTTTAAAAATTCTACTACTTCCATTACCGGTTTGTCGGTGATGTAATTTATTTGAAGTGTAGGCTCTGCCATCGGGTGACATTATTGAAAATTAAATTGCAAGATTACCATAACGAACTTCCATAAAACGATTGTAGAAAATCATGTTTAGAGCGTATGGGCCTTGCCACCCATGGGACATACAACATTTGCATGGTAATCTTAGGATTTGAATGATCGGAAGAAGTTGTGTTAGAACATGTAGGCCACGCAACCCGGGGAAGTACAATCTTCCGTGATGATCTTAGAATTAGGAAATTAGTCACACTCAGAATGCGATAAAATTAATAAGTCCCCATCGAAGTCCTTCTTTTTTATTGCATGGCTAAATGGAGACCGACTATTAATTTCGTTGGCCATGAATTTAATTTGTCTTATGGAAATTAATGGGTTCTTGAACAACCCTTCTCTTGCGAATGTTGAATGCGTAGGCCGGAGGGCCACCCACCATGACATGCGTTATCTCGGTGTTTTGAGGTGTCGGTGAATTTAAGTTAATAATGTTTTGAGGATACCAATACTAATGGTTAAATTCAAAATATTTAATTAGTAAAATTATTTCGTGTTTCTCAAGGATATTCAAACATGTCTTTCAGGCTGTTGTTCGTTACTCTCAAAGATTATTTATGTGTTCGAAATATATTAAAAATAGAACTTGGACAGTGTCCTAAATTACTGAGAAGTACGAGCCGAAAGGCGAGTGTACCCGATTTAAGCAAAATGGACATAAGAAGTCGAAATAACCTATCCTTAAGATAATAGGTAGATCTTATTCACTCTTAAATAAGATCGACTGAGTGATGATAGATTACCATCTAGAATGGGCTTTGCTACGAAAGTGGGAACTATTACAGTGAGAGTTTTCTATTAAATAGAATTTTGGTTTTGAGGGATTATCTTTGCGTGTCATATTTTAGAAAGAATTCAGTTTCAGTTTCTAATGTGTATGGGTATTACATTTTGTTTGATGGCAAGTCTGTTGTTTTAAAAATGAAATGTTTTATCAATATGGTACGTGGGTAGATGACTTGAGAATTCAAGTATAAAAATATATCTCACAGTACAATAAATGGAAATAAGTAACACATCGACTAATACCAATAAGAGATACTGTCTCTTAGGTATATTGGTTGAGTCAGTGATGAGTTACTAGGATTTTTTCCAGTTTTTCGTTTATTGTGTTATGCAAACAGCGACATAATTTTTGAACGTAGCTCCATCTAAATCAATACCTTTTACTTTGAGACGATTATGGACAGGGCGTAGGCCCAGTCTAAAAATATTCATAATCAGAGTGTTTTCGACAACTAGCTGAAAAGTTGATACTGGTAAGATAAGAAAGTTGTCAGAAATTTTGGCTATTTTGTGGGATACTCCATAGTCATGAAAATGTAGTTTATTTTATAATACTAAGAATCAGAAGGTCATCGTTAAAATGAACACCTGATTTTTAGAGGAATAGTAAGTGATAAACCACAAGCCCATTTGTAGAGTTGTCATAAGGAAAGATAAAGGAGAATGTTCAACTTCGTTACCGTGTGTACAAAATATTATACGACAATAAAATTGAAATACGTGTCACTAGTAATACACCTTTGCCGGAGGTACCTCGCCGCAGTGGGATGGTTGCTAGGCAGCCACATAGGTTCCTATTGATGAGAGAATCTTTGCACTCTGTCTCTGGCACATGAAACTATGGATTCATATTCTTGAGAAAGTTTGTGGACTTAGTCTTTAGTGAATGCAAAATAAATCTCTGGTTATATAATGAGGTCCTCGTTGTAGTGGGAGCGTTGCAAAACAACTGCCATAGATTTGTGATTAAATAGAGTCTTTGGACTCAGTCTCTAGTAAACATGAAACTATGAATTCATGTTCTTGAGAGAAGTATTTGTACTTAGTCTATGGTGAACGTGAAGTAAATCCCTGTTTATACAATGAGACTCTCTGAGATAAGGATGCAGAAACTTAGCAAAACTAAAATGATTTCTGATTTAGGGTCTTGGACTCTAATCTGATATGGGATCTTGTAAAACCACCAAGTGGCGTAAAATCTGTTGGACAAAATGGATCTAAAAGTAAAACTATGTAAACTCCAAAGTAAGGCTCGTTGTGAAATAGTAAACTAGAAAAGAAATGGGTCTGTTATGAGTTAACTTTTTCAATGCTAGCCATACTTGAGTATATATAAATTTTTGGTCGTGGTAGTTCATATTAGTTATGAGATTTGACATAGTGGATTTCAAGTGTGGGAATATCCGTGGAGCAGCACCTATAAAGGTTCATTGTAGATTGCTAAGAGCATCTGGTCTGTAAACTAAAATGGTCCAATTGTGGACTAAAGTAAATTTTGCTTTTTAATACATTTGGATGATAAATCAAGTCTGTGGATTTGATTAGTCATCAAATGAGAATTGTGTGTATAAGAAGTCTGGTGGTATTTTTATAATGTGCGTTTATGACATTCGACCATTATAAATAGTGTAAGGATATGGGCTCTGAAGCGTGTCAAGAGTGGGGCAACTTGTGCAGATATAAATTCAGGCCCACGTGAGCAAATGAATCAAGAAAGACTTAAAATTAACTCAATGGATCAATCGGATCAATTTTTGGACTCATGACCCAACCCATTCCAATCAGACCCTAAGCGGATTTATTTATTTATTTATTTATTATTTTTTTTAAGTTAAAAAGTTATGTGGAATGACTAAGGGAAGGTAGGGAGTGCAGAGAGAGAAAAAAAAAAAGACTTAGGGCGTGCTTGAATACCAATATATATTGCTCAAAATGAGTTTTTTTAATTAAACAGAGTTCATTTTTCAAAAGGTAGTATAGTTAATTGTTAGTGAGATTTGTAGATTATATTAAAATAATATTAAAAATAAAATAATTAGGAGATAGATGGTATGAAGTGATGGTTAGTTAAAATTATGTGAGTTGATCAATAGTGGATTAAAATTGATGTGAAGTGTAAGAATGATTGATTTATATTATTTAGGGTGTGATTGGATATAAACTAGACTAGTTGAAAACTAATTAAAACTCGAATTTAACTAAACTTTAACCTAACCTCATTACAACTTTAATTCACTATTCATCCACTCACATAATTTTAACCTGCCATCACTTCTAATAAATTTTTTCCTACTTTACATCAAATCAACTTTAATTAGTTTATTTTAAATATTATTTTAATTTAAACTTAAATTCCCACTAACAACTGGTCATACATCTTTTTTCAAAATTAATTACAGTTAATAAAAAAACCAATCAAATTCATATCCAATCACACTCTTGATTATATTTATAAATTTATAAAATTAGTATAGTGAAGTTGAGTGAAAGTTAAGTTAGATTTTGGACATGAATTGAGTATATATTTAAAAAAAAAAAATTATAAACAAATACTCCTTAGGGACGGATTGAGATTTTAAAAAGGTGATTGGGAATTTATGAGCAAATCACCTTCGTTGTAATCCACATATTTTCTTTATTATTTACTGCATATATATTTTTTAAATTCATTTTTTTTTAAACCCGTGTTGTACTAGACTACCAGTTAACATTTGAAGCAATAGGAATATAGGGCACCATCCAAAATTATAAATACGTCGCACTTTTCAGGAAAACAATAGCGTTGAATTTCCGAAAACCCAAATCTTCCTCCAGATTGCAACACAAAAGTTAATATGTGAATCCCTGCAAATTACGGACTGTTTATCTTTTCTGATTGTTTGTGTTCCTCTCCCAAAAGGACTGGCTGTACATGCATACCAATCGATTTGAAAGGACATTGAATATAAAGAGAATCTGGGAATTTTGCTTTTGCTTTCCCTTTTCTCTTCTCGACTTCTTCTCTGATGGTAATTGAGAATGGCGGGTCGAGAAGGCGGCTACGTTGTGCCGGCGGATGCTACGAACGCCGTGGCCGGGTTGAAGAAGAAGGGCGCCGGGTCAAGGAGCTGGATTTTAATGGATTCTTCTGGCCACGAAAATGTACGGGATGTGGACAAATATGTGATCATGCAGCGCGTGCAGATACACGCGCGTGATCTCCGCATACTCGATCCCCTTTTGTCTTATCCCTCCACTATCCTCGGGCGCGAGAGAGCCATTGTATTGAATTTAGAAGTAAGCCCATTTGGATTTTGCCAAGTTGTTTTCGTATTTATTGCTATGGTGGTTTGGGGTTTTCTTGTTAATTAGCAGTCAAGTTTATTTGGGTGTTGGAAAAGGTTTGGGTAGGCCCTCTCATGTTCGAACTCCGTATATTTTGAAATTTTAATGGTTAAGGGGCTTTTCCCCTGCATGATTGCACAGTAATAATGATTGAATTATCAATGGTTATTGATCTAGAACATTATTTGTTATTTTCATTTAGGCCATTTGGTAAGCTTACCGTTTTTTTGTTCTTTGTGTGCATACAGCATATCAAGGCTATTATTACAGCTGATGAGGTGAGTTTTTACCTTGCATTTCGTTCTTCATAAAGTGCTTTGTGCCTCTTTAGATGTTTTATACACCATATTTTACTAAACTTAGCATGTTACAAGGAAATTAAGATTCAGATATTGATAAACAATGAGAGATATTGGTCCTTGCTTTCCTATTGGTTAGGTGTGGCTTCGTGACCCATTGGATGATAATGTCATTCCTATTGTTGAGGACCTCCGTAGGCGTCTGAAAAATGTGAACATGAACCGCGAAGATATTAAGGACGGCAATTTTACTGATGTGAACATGAACCGGGAAGATAGCAAAGATGGCAATTTGGCTGTGCAAAATGATGTCGAAACAGCAGAAGAAGATGGTATCCCTCATATTTTCTTATCGAATTTTATGCAACAGTTTCTACTCGTGTTTTCTTACTGTGATAGCAGAGTAATTGCGTTTTTTGAACACTTTTGGGTCTTCCTTGAAAATTTACCACTTTGAGCTAAAAGAAATCGGCAATTCTACTTATGTAAATCCTACTAATCTGCATGAGCATTGCAGATTCACCATTTGAGTTCCGGGCCCTTGAGGTAGCTTTGGAAGCCATTTGTAGTTTCCTGGCTGCCCGCACGATAGAACTGGAGACAGCTGTTTATCCAGCTCTGGATATGCTCACATCGAAGGTTCTTTTTTTTTTATATATATTTATTTTTTCTTGTTCTTATTGTATTTTCATGGTTTACGTGAACACATTAATTTAAGTAATAGGCTCAAATTAGACCACTGAAGAACATAAGTCTAATCACACTCGGTACTTTCAGAGAGATATTCATGCTTAGGCTGCTTGTTCTAGCATTTTGAAATCGCAAGTACTGGATAAACTTGCTAGCACATTATAGATGCTTTGATAGTAATAGACGCGATTATTGAAACTACTGTTCCATATCTAATTTGATCGTAACTCAAACAACTCATTGGCACATGTAGTTTATAATCACATGATCTAATAAAGTTTATGCCAAACCCTATTAGGGCCTAAATATTTTTGGATCATGGGGATAGTTTTGTCTCTGCATACTATGATGTTTCAGTTCACTCAAGGAGAATGGTGTCTCGAGGCATACAATTTATTATTTCTTATGGAGTCAAAATCATTTTTCAGGTTGAATCCATTGGAATCATTGTAATATCTTTCTAATTATTATTTCTTTTCTTCTGTGTCCTGGTATATATCTTTGGCTGGACCTCGGCCTCCATTTTCCCATTCCAGCCTCTATGTATTCAGGTGAAATGTTTTGAAGCCTTGAGGTGTCATATGTTGTCTTGTATTGTAACTGACACAGATTAGCAGCCGTAATTTGGATCGAGTGCGTAAACTGAAGAGTCAAATGACAAGGTTGACTGCTCGCGTACAAAAGGTGAGTATCCTGCCTAATTGATTTCGAAACTTTCCATTAGCAACTTCTTGTTCTTAGGTAGTTGAAGAAAATTGCTATGGTTCTGTTCCTAAATAATTTTAACATTCATCATAACTAGTTGATTTTATTTTCTTCACTATTCATTTCATACAACAAATATAATCATCATACGGTTAGAGATTTTTCTAATTACTAATTTGTTTTCGAACTTGTTATCTATATGCAGGTGAGAGACGAGCTGGAGCAGCTTCTGGATGACGACGATGACATGGCGGACCTTTACTTGTCAAGAAAGTTAGCAGGTGCATCGCCATTGAGTGGTTCGGGTGCTGCTAGTTGGTTCCTTGCGTCTCCTACTATTGGCTCCAAGATATCGAGAGCTAGTCGAGCGAGTGTGGCAACAGTACGCGGAGATGAAAATGACGTTGAGGAACTCGAAATGCTTCTTGAGGTGTAAACCCTTTGTCGTGTTATGATATTATGCAAGTTTTCTTAGAAAGATGTTTTAATCAGTAGCTTTTTTGTTGCAGGCTTACTTTATGCAAATTGATGGCACACTCAATAAATTGACCACGGTATGTTAAAACGTTAATGTTCACAATTTGGGAGATTCTCTTATCAGAATGTATATTTAACTGCTGGAATTTTGTTGCTTGTTTAATAAATCGAGGGCTAGAATTGCGGCTTGCTCCAAAGTCAATTTTGATTTTCTCTATTCAGTTGAAAAATTGCTGGACAATGAAAGTTGTGAAGGTTTCAGTTTTGATGGTTTAATCCTGTCTGTCCCTTTGTATTATCTAGTCATATATGTTTAGCGAAAATAGTATATTCTGGACTGAGTTTGGATCCACCTGAGACGAGATGTGTTTGACCCGACTTCGAACAAGCCTCATTACCATTTATAATTGTAACGTTTCTGAGATTATTTCTATCTACGGTACTTAAGCTTTTTAATGGGTTATCATCTTTAATATTTGCAGCTGAGGGAGTATATTGATAATACAGAAGATTACATCAACATTCAGGTATATCATTAAACATGAGGATTTGATTGTTCAGTACTCCTTTATGTTGTGACCATACACAATTTGAAATTTCATTTAATTATTTATTTGACAATGTATTTCAGCTTGACAATCACCGAAATCAGCTGATTCAAGTATGTTCACTGCACTGTGTTTGTCTTTTTGGCTTAATATCGTGTCTAAATCTGCATTAACATCTTCTTTTACTTTTCTTATTTTTCTATGTGCAGTTAGAGCTCGTTCTCAGTTCTGGGACTGTGTGTTTATCCATTTATTCATTGGTGGCTGCAATATTTGGAATGAACATCCCGTACACATGGAATGACAATCACGGATACATGTTTAAATGGGTCAGCACTAAAAAATACAATCTGTTTAGACTAATCACCATTTTTCTTTGTCATATTTCTTGCGAGCCAAATTAATTTTAGTACATTTCGACTAATAAGTTTAATTACTTCTTCCAGGTGGTTATTGTTGCAGGCGCCTTTTGTGCAGTACTCTTTGGACTTATAATTTCTTATGCTCGTTACAAAGGTCTCGTTGGATCTTGATTTCTTTATCAGTCAGATATTTGTCATTAAAAAACGACAGAATTCCTCATAGCATGCATTTTACTGGTGGTGGCCAAAATTGTGAATCGATTAAGAAAATCTGTTATTCTTTAATCGATTAATGAGGATATTATATTTTTCCAAGATGTACACATTTTACTTTTTCATTTCAATTCAACTGCGTGGCTGTCAATGCGTATTTTTGTCACCATAATGCATTTCCTTGTTAACCATATGTGTTGAGATGTTTTGGGATTATGTTGAGTTTGATCAAGCAATTGCTACGTTCTCATTACTAATCACTACCATAGAATCTTTTTGTCCAAAATTTTCAGCTGAAATATGGCAGCCGTATGTATAATCTGCTTCTGTGATGTCATTGTAATAAAATTTAAACATTTAGGAACTGAAGAGCCCCTTGGATTTAAGGTGAAACTTGCCAAAGGTGTAGTAGAAATTGATTGTAATAATCATCCAATACAAATAAGGTTCAGGTTAATCTCGGAGGAATCCTATTCTCTTAAAATCAGAAAGGCCAATTTCTGTTCCCTTTTGCCATTTTGTTTTGATAACATGAAGTTGGGTCGGCATTGAATTTGTTACTACGCATTGAGGTCCTAATGCAAATAGGTTACTTGTGTAAGACATTACTTTTCAATTATTCTGGAGGGAAAACAAAAAAATGCTTCATTGAGTCAAATTGGCAAACCTTTTTTATATTTTTGAACAAACTTTGAGTAACTTCACACCATTTGTGAGATCCAAGGAATGGAATTCTTCTCAAAGTTCATTTTCCAACATACAGCTTTACTTCTTCACAAGAATAAGAAATGAAGACATTTATGCACCAACGGGACATCATAAGAGCTAAAACATAGATGCATCTATAAGAACCTCAGAAGAAGAAAATCATCTTTAAGCCCCAATGCAAAACAAACATTTAGGTGTTTGTCTAATTACCAAAAGCAAAATATGCCAGCATTTCTATTCAAATTACACCCACTTTAGACACTTCCTATATAGCTTCTTAAAACAGCAAAAGCAAATAGCCATAGATTAGATCAATCCAAAATTTATGATATCAATGTAACTAAAATAAATGAAAACCTACAATATGAGAATAATGAAAAAATGCGGCTTGATATCCAACGGCAGTGTAAAGTAAACTCAATTCACAAAACACTTGACACAACACCAATAAATTCTTTTTCTTCAAAAACTTTCCGGCCTGCATCATAGACAAATAAGATCAAAACAAACAAGTAAAATTGAGCTGCTGCCAATTTTGTTTTACTCTTAAGACCAACATCTTGAATCAAAACAATGGCAAAAGTAGTTATGAATTTTAAGAATTTTTTTTTTAGCTTAACAGACCTCGTTGCAGCACCAAAATGCCCCCAATTGAATCCCAATACCCAGACAGAAACCCTAATTTGTTTATTTTCCCTCAAACACTCGAATAATCTCCTCTCGGACTATCCACGACATTCAGCAGCGACCCGTACGGTGAATCCTCCATGGAGTCCTCCGGCGCCCTCAAAACCCCATGAACGACCACGATCAAACCCCCGATGACCAGAGCCGACAATAATCTCAGCCAAACTCCGGTCCAGAAGACACCGATCGCGGTCATCACGGCGAGAAACCCCACGACTATTTTCTGATCGACGTCGTAATTGAAGACCGTCAGTTGCTCGTCGCGCCAGAAAATCAGGTAGACCCAGGCGGCGAAGATGCTAATGAAGAGTAGTAAGGAGAGGGGGCGCGTGAGGAGCGTGAGAAGGAAGACAAGGATAGTGAGGGCGGCGTAGTTGGGGAGGAAAAATCGGAGATTCTGAGAGATGCGGTACGTGGATTCGGTGAATGAGATCGGGAGGCTTAGGGCTGAGAAGTTCAGGAAAAGCGGCCATGGGCGGAGCGCGGCTGAGGCCGGGGGCGGAGACGGCGATGACATTTGGGTTACGGTATCTCTTTAGTTTTCCTCTCTTTTCTTGTTGTTGGAGAACGAGGAATATAATGTGGATGTGGTTCAAAGGAGACTTTTGAAAAAGCAATAAGCGAATAATTAATTAAGGGTTTAGGAAACAGAGTAAAATTAATAAATAACCCCTAAAGTTTAGCCTAATTAAATAGAGCTACAAAACCCACCGACCAAATAACAAATCACGCCGTTCGGTACAAAGATTTTAAAATCGAGATTCTAAGTAGAATCGTTTTGGGTGCGGAATCGGAATCGTAGAATCGGAATCGTAAAATCGTAAGACTCTACTCAAAACGTCTAAAATTAATTATTTTTAACAAGTTTTATGGTAATCATCAAGAATATGTATCAAAATGCTAAAAAAAATCACCATTTATTTTTCAAAATATAAAAATTTAGACCTATTTGAGGTTTTTTGATTGAATCAGTTTGAATGTGCATAATTCCATACTCCAAAGTCAGAACTAAAACACGGCAAAAAACAGATCACAAAAAATAAAACATAACTGCTCAATCTCCCTGACTTTAGGAATATGCATCACAGGAAAAATAAGGAACAAAATGAATACCATTTTAACGTCAGAACCAAAGTCACGACTCACGACCATCAAGGCGTCAACCAAAAATTCAATCTTCCTAATTCCTAAAACTGTGATTCTGTGAACTTCCCCTGTTCCAACAATGATAAAAATAAAAGTATAGGGAAATAAGTAGGGATAAATGGTTACCTCTAAATGGGAGAACAACAAAGTGATGAAGCTTAATTGCTGATAAGACTGCTCCGACGAAGAAGACGCAGGCGTCGAGGCTGAGTCATTTTAACGTCGGAGTTTGGACTTTCGGAGGCTACAGCCGTGTGAACTCTAGACTGTGGAGGATTGGAGGCCGAAGAAGAAGTGAGAGAGAGATGGATTTGAGTTTAACGTCAGAGTACGACTGTCGGCTGGCGAGGGATGAAGGTGAAGAAGTCGCGATTCGCGACGGAAGAGCAGAGGGAATTAGGATTAGGGGAAAATGAATTCACATTAGGGATTTTAGGATTTGTTGGGTATTTTTTAAATTTTTTTTAATTAATTTGTTTTGGATTGGGCCAAGGGAATGAAATATTTATGCTTCTTTGGGCCAATTTGTGTAAAAAAAAAATCAAAAGAAACAGCCTAAGTGCCCAAACGCAACCCAATTTTAAAATCTAGTTCATTTTTTGAGCTTTGCACAGAATCGGTCAAAGTCGTAGAATGGTCCGATTCTACGACTTTGACCGATTCTACTGATTCTGCAGCGACTTTACATTTCTTTGCGATTTTGAGCGACTTAGAATCGATTTTGTGACTTTGAGTCGTAGAATCGGCGATTCTACGACTCAAAGTCGCGATTTTGATAACCTTGGTTCGGTAAAAGGTCGGGTTGGAATGAATTTGTACATTGAGAGCCGAATTTTGCGCCTAGCATTTCATCGTCAACCTCCATGGGAGTTTGATTCCACGTCTGATCATTTGATCAGGGTCATCTTAAAAAATTTAGAGGGCATAGACAAAATTTTCTATTTTGATATATATTTATATATAAATATTGATAAATTTTTAATAATTAGACAATCTTAGACATTATTAGAATTAAATACACAAAGTATCATCACATATAAAAATAATTAATAAAATCATATTTAAAAGTATATTTTTAATAATTTTTTAAATAACAAGAACTCACAATTTAGAGAAACAATAAATTATCTATGATATAGTCCAAAATTAAAAAAAAAACAAGAAAATCAAAAATCAAATACGCCATGTGACTTTGTTATTAGTTGCAGTCACTTGAGCAACTTTAATTTTAAATATAATTAATATTGATAATAAAATAAAAATTAAAAATGGTCAAATTTATTTATTTGAGAAAATTATAAGTTCTGTAATTTGTGTTCTTTAATTTTTCGTATGATGTAAATGGCAAAATTAAACAATATCATAAAACTTATATTAATATTTCAATTACTAATATACAAAACAACGGCCCCATATGAATTGGGGGCCCTAGGCTTGTGCCTTGGGCAACTGGCGCAATAGCCGGCCCTGGGTTTGATCTCTCCTCTTTAGTTCATGTCCACGTATTAAGTTTGAGAGCCTCATTATTTTCTTGCCTGTCTCTCTCCTTCGTTTTTTTTTTTTTTTTTTTTTTTTNTTTCAGTTTATTTTGTTAGGGCACTCTGTTTTTCATTCGTTGTGCCTCGTAGTTCAGAGTGCATGGAAGAAGACTTGATAAGCAAGATAAGCTCCTTTCATAGAAAAAAGCTACAATCCTTGACCTAGAATCAGAAGATGTTCAACATAGTTTGAAAGATTGCTCTCGGAGTTTGTTTGGAAAAATTTATGAAAATTTGGTTTTGTAGTTCTATTTTTCGTAAATGAAAGACTTAAAATTATCAAAACCATTTTACGGTAAATGAGAAATTAAATTTAAGTTGTATATATAGGAAATGTAAGGTTAAAGCAATTGAGTTTAAGTAACTCAAATTATTAGATTCACAAAACATTCTGTCTTTGATGACTGTTAGTATAATCGAGAACTGATCTTCCCTAGAACAGTTCGTTGGAGACAGGTATAAAAAAACAGAAATCGATACCGAGTCTGGATGAGCTCGTACGAGCCCGCGGCGCACGGACGCGCAACTAGCTGCGACCAGCGAAAGTTCGCGATCCTTGGTGACCATAAGGTGCCTTTTGGCCTCTAGATGCGTCCACTCTCGTTCGAGTATGACCCAAAAGGTGTCTTTTGACACTTAAACCTCTTGAAGGTGTTTTCCTACATCTATAAATACCCGCATACATGAAATTATTCACAATTTGAAAATTGAAGAGATTTTGCATTACATTTTCAAAGTTCATAAAGCATATTGTGTTAAATTTTTTCATTGAGTCTTGAGAGTTCTAAATAATAGTAATGTTCGCCGAAAGCTTGTATATTTGAAATACCGCTATATACAAGTTGAAAGTCGTTGTATCTTAGAGACATTTGCCATTAACTGTGGGTATTTTATGGGGCAATTTCGTCTTAAAGAGAACGTATCTATTACTTGCCTCAACTTTGATTTTGTTTTGTTTTCGTTATTCTACTTAAGCCGTCTTCTTGTGTTTCACATACACAAATTTACTACAATCTTAAGACGAAATTTGCGAGTTCAAAGATGGAAAGCGAAGGAAACCAAACATCTTCTTCAAGTGTTCGACCGACCACTACACCGATTATTAATCCATTAACCCTGATGGTAGCAAAAGAGGTGGCAACAAAATATGCTTTTCTACCTCACAACTTTCTCCTTCTCTCGTT